TCCGACCAACAGTCCAACCGTCCGACTGTCTGGTCCGGTCCAATTTTTTAAACCATGGACGGAACAATAGGTCCATTTGATGTTAGGTGCTGCCTAGACTAATGGAAAAGAGAGATGTGTGCAGCTCTTTTGATTTTGATTTTTTTTATTTTTTTACTTTATGTTTGAATCAAATAAAGAAAAAATTGTGGATATAATATCAAATATTAAATTATTTTATAAGTAATTAAAATGAATTTGTTTCATTTTTTTCATTTTTTTAAATAAAAAAATAAAAAAATCAAAAATAAAAAAGGTTGCACACGTCTCTTTTTCATTGGTCTTCTAGGTGTTGTCCCACTCATACAACACCTAACATTAAATGGATCGAGATGGAGGGGATTAGGGTACACAGTGTATAAAAGTTACTGGGGTTGGCACTTGCTATGTGGGGGCTGCTAGTCTGCAATCAGACAAAGCATTTCAAATAAGTTGCACAAAGAAAAGAAATTATTTACCTTATTCGTATTGGAAACATAGAATTGATAATTCCAAGGTATATTCACAAAATTTCAGTTGCCAACAATTCTTGGCCAAAAATGAAAATATTAAAGGAAAAAATAGGGCATTTTCTGTCACAAAAATAATTAGATAATATTAATTTCAAGGTAGGCCATTTTTCCAATCATTAAAACCCATACCTATTAATATTCTATTTAAACCAATATCTCAAAATCAAGTCACGTTTTAGTATTTTAATTTATCAAAAAGCCGCTGGTTTAATTTGATTACACTAAAAAGAAAAGTCAATAAAAATACTAAGTGTTATTCTATTGAAGTAGTATCTAGTATTAAATAGACGAGACGGAGAGAATTAGGGTCCACGTGTATAACGGTAATGGGGTTGGCATGTGCTATGTGGGGGCTGCTAGTCTGCAATCAGACAAAGCATTTTAAATAAGTTGCACGAAAAAAAGAAATTATTTACCTTATTTGTATTGGAAAAATAGATTTGATAATTCCAAGGTACGTTCACAAAATTTCAGTTGCCAACAATTCTTGGCCAAAAATGAAAATATTAAAGGAAAAAATAGGGCATTTTCTGTCACAAAAATAATTAGATAATATTAATTTCAAAGGTAGGCCATTTTTCCAATCATTCAAACCCATACCTATTAATATTCTATTTAATCAATATCTCAAATCATATTTTAATTTATCAAAAAAGCCGCAGGTTTAATTTGATTACACTAAAAAAAAAGTCAATAAAAATACTCATTTGAGAGTATAATTTCACTGATTTTTGGAACTTTTTTATTTTATTTTTGACATTTAAATTAATTATATCACGAGGAGAGAGAAAACAATTAAATATAAATTTTTTATGATGACCAAAAACAAAACAGATATCATGAGGAATACAAAATTTAAAATAAAAAATAATTTTTTTAACAATTTATAAGAAAAAAAATGCACTAAAATTTTAGAATGTTAAATATTTTTTTAATCTCAAAATTTTAAGTCAAAAAACTAATGGATTATGAACAAATTTTAGAATTATTATCATTATTATTATGATTACAGCAAGAGAAATTTTAGAATTAATCATTGTGCGAGACAATTACTTTATCTTATTCAGTGCATGTGAAAAGTAGGCTTTTTGACAATAAGGCTTAATGACGTAAAGCTTTCTTTTTAAAGGGTATTGGGTCCTACTTTCTCTTAATTTCAAATTCTTTTGAAAAAAGTTCTCAAAATTCAGAATTTTACAGTTTGCCTGCTGCCAAGAACATGCAAATTCAATTAAGTTTAAAAAAAAAAGTTTCTAGAATAAAATCTACCATATTAATGTATGATTAATATGTTAAATTCAGTTTTAAAAAGTAATTAAGGGTTGAGAGGTAAATAATTTAACTTGTATATTTACCAGAACCAAACTAATTATGCACTAAAAGTATAGAAATTAGGCATTTTTAGATTAATATTATTTAAATTTTTAGACTCTATGTAAAAGTTGATTTCTAAAAAATTGACTTTTTTTTCACAAAAGTCAGTAATAGAAAAATTAACTTTATAAAAAAGTTGGTTGTTGTTAGACTAAAATTTATTTATACTAGACAACCTTCTTTGAAAAATTAGTTAGGAAAACCGACTTCTTTTGAGAAGTCGGTCTACTCAAAACTAATTTTTTCTTAAACTTTCTTAAAAAGATTGGTTCAACATAAACTAATATTTTTATAAAATTGATATGACAAAACCCTTATTTTTCAAGAATAAATTTTTTTATTTTTGATTACTATGCATAAGTTAATTTTTTTAAGAATTATTTTGCATAGAAATTTATTTTAAAATTTTTGATAATTTTTTTTATTACCCTATTTTAATAATTAAAAATGAATAATATTGACCTAAAAACGCCGTAAAATTATGAGCATCAAATTACGAGAGGCTGCCTTATTTATTTTACATTTTAGCACGAGGAAAAGTAAACGTAAATACCTGTCAAGAGCCATCAAATCAAAAGATGCTCACGGTACCACCCTTTATCACCTCCTCCTCTCCTCCTCCTCCTCCTCCTCCCCCCAACTCTATTATTGTTTTTTGGTACGACCTAAATTAGGCTAAAGCTGATATCTGTGTGTTGTGACTCTCCAATATCCTCAGCCCGACGCATGTGCATCACTTCCAATGTCATTGTTTGGATTACCCTCTTCTTCTCTTCCCTTGTCCCCATCCCTAAACAGGTTTCTTTTGAGGTGTATATTTGTAGTTTTAAAAATGTAATTTTATAATTTAAAGAGTTTATATATATATAAAAGGAATATAAATGATGTTGACTGATTTAACTTAATTTATTTCAGCAAATAAGTAAAAAAAAAGAACAATTTCTCATTTAAAAAAAAAAAAAATCTCTTGTAACCACGTTGTAACTTATGGTTGCATTTTAATATACAAATAAGATAAACACTCAAATTTTAAATTTAAGTTGTGATATATAAAAATTACTTTAATTATAAATATTTTTAGATTTAAAAAAGTAAGATGTTCAAAAGTTAATATAACATAATTGAACATGAAGTATGCGAATTTTTGTAAAGGAATTAAAAATTCGTTATTTATGTTGAAATTAATTAAAATAAATAAATTATGAAACTCTTGTGAAATAGATAAACTATAAATTTTCACTTCCCCTAATCTCTATCTATAATCTCCAATTATTACATCCGAATTTACAAATTTTAAATATAGGAAGTTGTAGTTGTCTTATATTATATTATGTCTAATTTAAATATAATATAGTCTACATAAATAATTTTGTATACTCCATCTAAAGATGGTGTCATATAATTTTTTATAACTTCAAATTTATATGCTATTAACAATAATATTTTCAATTTTTTGAAATAATAAATGTGGTAAATTTATAAATACAATGCTATGTTGTTTTATATGAAGATAAAAAAAACTCAAATATTTAAATTGAGAGAGACAGAAAATAAGACTGGCTGCAGAGGATTAAATCTTGCCCATCGCCATTTGTACCACGATTATATATTGTGTCATCATTATTATGTATGGCCTACTACACCCAAACGGTCCTCTTCACGGGCGACTCTGCTTCTTACATTAATGATTAAACAGAGGCTTCATAGTCATGTCTACGCCCCCTATTATCTGTGGAGGAGCCTCTCCCTATAGCTACTTATAAAACTGTTTTTTTTTTTTTTTTTTTTTCAACGAGATTAAAATATTATCAAAAATTAAGTACAATTCATATATAATTAAAAATTAGATAAATTATCTTTAAATTAATTAAATATTTTTTATTTATATTTTTAATGATAAATTCACGTTATATATATATATATATATGAGAAGGGATCAATTGACACCAAGTGTAAATATAAAGACTTACACCACATCTTATACCATTGATTTGGTCAAAATCAATTGTATAAATTAATTATAATTGATTTAAATATAAATTAATTACTAGAAATTGATAGAAGATAGCTGTAATTAATCCACACCGTTAATTTTGACCAAATCAACGATGTAAAATATGGTGTAAGTCTTTTATACTTACACTGGTGTCAATTGATTCTCTCTCTCTCTCTCTATATGTATAGATATATTACTAGAAAATGAGTTTTTCATGGTGTTTTAAAATAATTCTACTAGTGTTTTCTTCTTTTCTTTAAATATATATGATGCTAAAATTATCTTCAATTGTAGCATTACTTGACAAATACATCTTTAATAAACTTATTAAGATACATTTTCTTCCTAATATATAAAGTATAATCATGATAATATTTATCTTTTAGAGTATAAAATGTAATATTTTAACTCCTAAAATTTACAGTCACCGATAAAAATAACCAACATAATTATTATACTCACTTAGTCTATCATCACACCTCTTAATTTGCATCGTTTCATTATTCATAATTTAGCAAATGTTGTCTTTAAAATAATAGTTTTTATTGTAATCAAAAAATTATAATTAATTAAAAAATTAATCTCTTGACTAATTTGTAAAATAACAACTTTTATTATAACAGAAATTAAACTAACATATTAACTCTGTTATATTGTAAATTAAGTGAATATATTAACTTTGTTAGTCATTTTTAACTATAAGTATAAATTTCAGGATTAAGTGAGTATATTAATTTTGTTAATCATTTTTAAATATGACTACAAATTTCAAGAAATAAAATATTATAATCCATACTTTAGTAATTTTAGGGCAAACTGTATTTTACCATAATATATAATTTATTACTTACACAGTTACAAGTCTCGTTTTAAGTTGGGTTCGGAGCCGGGTATTATCCAAATTTTGATTATTATGAATTTATAAACTATTTTATTTATTACTAAGATAAAAGAACATATTGATATATATTAGATATAAAATTAAAATATATTATTAATGTAATGTGTCAGATCCTTCATATTTACATGTGCATAAATACATGGGTGGGCTAGGAGATAGTGAGGCAAGAGTTGAGGACATGGGTAGCACCCAAAGCAAGAGAAGGAAGAAGAAAGAAGTGGTGAGAGGATTGAGAGAGAAAGTGAGGATGCTAGAGAAGGAGATGAGAGAGATGATTTGGATAAGAGAGAGTGAGAATGAAACCCATCAGAGGGAGATAATGGTGTACTCTCTTAAGGAGAGAAAATGGAGGAGAGAGAGGAAGAGGATGAGAGAGGAGGTGAAGAGGCTGAGGAAGATGTTGGAGGAGAGAGAAAGGAGAGAGAAATATTATCATGATGTAGATGATGGGAGAAAGTGGGAGTGGCAGTTGGTGGCCGCGGGGACTAGACACCGGACAGAGGAGGAGGAGGAGGAGGAGGAGGAGAGAGCACGGCGGGACGACGCCGTTGAGCGGTGGAAAAGGTTGTACCTCGCCATCAAAGTTGAGCTTGATGCTCTCATTCTCAGGACACACCAAGGTACAACTTCCCCTTTCTGTTCTCTCGACATCTTAAATCTTAACCCCTGGAGTTTGTCTAACCAAATTTTATGCAAAATTCTTTCCCATTTGTTTGCTAGACTTCAATTTTTGCATAGTTAGGATGGCTGATTAAGCTCAATATTTCACTATATTATAATTACTATTATTATTAATAAAATTGTTTTATGATTTTTTTATTTTTTTATGAAAACACCACTTCGCAAGAAATTAATTGGAACATAATCATGTTCCCCTCTTCAATAACATATAATTTTTTTTTCCTTTTTTGTGTAGGAGAGAGATTACACGATAGATCAGAGGAAGAACTGAAGGAGAAGCTTCAAAGGGATATGAGGGCAAAGGAAGAAACCATTGAGCTTCTGCAAGCAAAAATAGCTTCAATGGAGCAAAAAGAGTCAAAGAGGGAGAGAGAGGTGGACTTACTCAAGCAAAGTTTTAGAATTTTGAGTTACAATAAGAAGCTCAAAAGCCTTCCCAAGGGCTTTTTCCAAACGCCCGCTTATGCGAAAAAACAATTAGTAGCAATTTAGTTGATTATGAAACAAGTTACAATAAAGTAGCTTATTTTTAAGGCATATGAACTGGTTGAATAGATGACTAAGAGTATGCATGATTACTTCAGTGTTTGATATTTTCTAGTACTCAAATTTTTAATGTTAAAATAATTAAGGACTGAATTTTAAAATTCAAAAAATTGAATTAAATATAATAATTAATGATGTAGATTAAGCATTCAACAAGAAATTTCATATTTAACCAACTTAGTTTTAAGTGCTTTAACGGTATTACAAGAAAGCTCTAGTAACATCCAAGTTAAATTCTCTAAGGAGGAGTTAATTGGAAAAATTCAACTAGATGAACACTTTACGTGATATTACCGTCTGGTCCTTGAATATCCAATATTTGCACATATTTCCCTCTTATAATATTAGATTTCAGAAGAAAAAAAAAATTCAATGTATACAGAGGGCCTTCTTGGGGCACATAGAGCCCAAAAATTGCACTGCTTAACTTGTCCTAATAATTTGGGACAACAAAATTATTAATTCTTTTTCTTGTTGTCCGCACATCTTTTCGCTCCAATAATTTGCAAGCTTTTTTGTCCGTGCAACTTTTGTTGTGCGTGTTTGGATTTATCTTCAAAGTAGCATAAAAGGCTTTCAGGGTGGAGCACCAACTTCGAAGGACTAAATTTCAAAGACTTTTTAACCTTTCCACTTTTTTTTAATGGAAATTTAACCTCTTTGAAAATTAGAAAACTAATTTATTCTTCACTCATTCTTAATTAAAATCAGCATTGTTTTGTAACAAAATGTAATCCTCCACTAGAAATGACGCATGAAAAGGAGATGCAAATATCATATTTCCTTTTTTTAAATTTCTGACAAAAAAGTTTACCACACTCTATGATTTTTATCCATAAAAAATTTCCAACAGTCAATAGAGTCAGTCAAAAATTATTTTTGACATGTTTTTTAACACACAAATATTCTACTACGTAAGTTAAATGTTGATAGTTTTCTTTTTCTCTCTCTGTTTTAAAAATGTCATACATCATTTAAGTTAACAAAATAGAAAATTCTGTAATTCAAATGATTATTTTCTTTTGAACCCAATTAACAAAATAGAAAATGTCATAACTCCTCCCAATAACCAAAACTTTAGGGTTATGGGTCCATTGCACAAAAGGGAACGCATTAAAAAATGATCCCATTTTTAAATAAGCTTATATAACTTCTTTCCATTCCCCTGATACGAAAAGAGAGACCCACTAGTGTAGTCTAATCAGGTGCCCTTCTTTTGCCTTTTTCTTCTTCCTCTTTCTTTAATCCAAAAGAATGCCTAATCAGTTGCACTTCACTATTCACACCTTGATCCAAAATATATAGAAAAGTTATGGTGAATTTGAGAAAAAAAGAGCTCAATCACCCACCAGCTGAAATTTGGGTGTAAGTCCACTTTATTAGCTCTCTAAAATCAACCACAAGAGCAACAATCATAAGGGAACAAAGAAATAAGATGCTGAGTAAGTGAGAATTTAGATTCATGCAATCTTGAGCGCATCAGAAACTGTACAAAATTTCAATTTACAGAACTTAGAATCAGAACAACCACTTTTATCCTATAAAATCCGTTTAAATTACTATTATAACCCTCTTGTAGCCCTCTTGTTTTCCAACAACACAATCTTCTGAACTGATTTATACTGTACCTACTTCACTGGCTTGTGACCTTGCAGCTGTTTGGTAATTTGATCTCACATTCTGGCAAAAAAATAAAATAATAGTCAAAATGCATGATTAAAGTGACGGATTCATCTATTTGTACATGAAAACAATGATTATCTTCAGATTATATATTACCTCAAGCAGTGTAATATAATAAAAATCTTCCATATGCTGCATAAGGGCACTACCATCCCTGATTGATCGGAAAATGTTTATCTCCGTATTTAATATTTTCTCAACAAGTTCTTTTTCACCTTTCATCTGTAACAAAATATTTATCAGATAGAAAGATCAACAAGTAAAACAGGACCACAGAAATTATAGGCTTGCATTATATTTCAATTTTTGCCTCTATATTTTCCTTGCACTAACTCTAGTTCGATATCAAGCCCACAAGATTATGGAAGAGTTAACCCCTCAACATGGCAGGCGATTTATTTTATTTCTCCATAGTTGCATTTTTCATGCCATGCCTTTAACTTCAAAGGAGATATAAGCTTAGTTGAATCCAGTAGAGATGAAAGTAAATGACAGAACAATGAATGTGTGAGATAAAATTGTGCACTTGACCCTCATTGTATTGATAAATTTTAAAATAAAAAGATCATATGAAACGAAATAGTACAAGTGATTATACTAAACTGTACTTATATGAATATCTGCACAAAATTTGCTCTCGAAAATTTTACTTTCAAGAGGTATAAATATTTTTTCACATATAAATAGTGACTGTAAATGATTGAAACGAGAAAAAATCAGTCAATGTTTTACACTTAAAAAATATTTATACATTTTAAAAGTAAAATTTTTGATAAATATTTTATCAAAATGTTAATTTGGGATAAGCGTTATTATAATTTCATATTTGTAGGGAGAATATTTATTTTATATATTTGTACATAATATAATGTTAAAATTTATAAGTTTAAAGGCTGAATTGCTACTTGTTCAACAAATAAACTAAACATCTATATATATCCATATCCACTCCCTCCCCCATTCATGCAAGTTTCTCTCAACATCAGCGTGCAATAGTGATAAGATATTGCTAAAATCTATCTATATCATTGTTGTTGTTTTATTATGTACACATACATATTATATAATTCTAGACATATTCAGTAGAAGAATAATGAACAAAAAATGTAAGTTAAGGAACATACAAATTCAGTGACAAGAACATCAGGTGTATACTCCCCAATAACGTCACCCTGGTAGCCATCTTCCAAAAGCTCTATATTATCCTGAAACGGTTTGTGTTAAAGACATAAGATGTACTCTGACATCAAAATATAAACCAAATTTATGAAAAGTAATTTGACAACTGAACCAAAAAAAATTAACCAAATATTTAAAATGGGACACTTTTCCAGTATATGGATTGTGGTAATATTTTTTTAAATCTCTATTGGTATAAAAAAGGATGGCAGAATCTTGTGCACACAAGAGGGGTCTAAAACTTTCAACTCTTCAGAGAGAACAAATCATCTTCCCAAGCCCCACTTGAAGGGGAAAGTAAGGAGACAAGAACTGTTCCTTTACTAATATCTTCAGAGAATTTTCCAGTCCTCTCCTCAATAAATGCATCACATTAAACATAAAAGAATCCATCATGACCTGTAGGACGCTTCTTGAAGAGAAATATTAGGAAAAGGAAAGGAAATCAATAATCAATTCATCATTTCCAAAAACTTCCTTTCTATTGTTCAAGATAACATACAAAAAGGCAAAAGATCAAAACCTAATTTCAAGAACTAAAGATTCAAAAAATAGCTAATGTCCTGAAATTAAGATTCTTAAAATACAAGATGTCCTAACAAATCTAGAATTTCCAAAAATAATCAAACACAATAATTTCTAAAACCAAGTAAGATCCTAAAAAATAAGGTTATAACCCTTTATTGATTGTCATCCTCCATCAACTGCCTAACCAATTAAGGCATCATCCACTCAAGTCCAAACACAATACCATCAGAACCTCTCTTTGAAATGGATGATGAAATTAATAAAAATATCTCATGCACTCCCCTATATTCTGGCACTAGCAACATCATTTCTTTCTTTCTTTCTTTCTTTCTTTGTTTTTTGTTACTAGAAATGTATATGCGGGTAGGCTACTTGGCATACCCATTAGGAAGCATTGGAGCTGCACCTTAGCTCCAGTGCTAAGGGGGTCGGCTTAACCCTAACCCATGGTTTCAAAGACTTGAAACCCACTTTGAGCATGGAAATTCAAGTTCAATCAACCAAATCAAATGCGTAATGCTAATACAACACCACTTCATATTTTGACTATTGGCCCTCCCCACTCATGCTGTCACTCATCAAGAACGCTTGAAGAGTATCATCCAAGAAAAGAAACAAACCTCAGGGAGCCTCCAATCAACCATAATCCTTTCCTGGAGGGATGATTCATCATCTCCAATGAGACTCTTAACAGAGAAGAGAGAAAAAACGCTCAACTTACAGACCCTTCGCACCTCTTTCATGGGCATTTAGCATGTCGGAGTAGACTAATAACCCCTCATACCAAACACTGATCACATAATCTGAAGAAGTCCATAATATTTCGAAGGATTTGTCTAGCTGTTGCCATGTTCAAGTCAAACAAGTTTGAATTACCTAGTGAATTCTTAGTAAATGAGGAACCAGTAAAAATGCAGAGAAAAACATTTCCAAAATGGTTCCTACATTTGAGCAGCAGGAAACGTCTCTCGAGGTATATATGAGTCAGTTCCAAAAGAAAATTTGGAACAAATATTCTATTTCTTATAACAAATTATTAGCCCTTTCATATCAGGTTTAAACTTAATGTCTTGTTTATGTAAATACTGCATACAAACTCAACTCAACAAAGCTTTTTCCCAACTATATGGTATTGGCTTGTATATAGGATATACGATGCAACTTACACACACACACACACACATGTATTACACTAGAAACAGATTGCTCCAGTTTCTCACTTGTGTTCTGGGAAAACTGAACGTCAATCAAATACTGAAGTTTACTTGGGTTTTTGGTTTGATTAATTTCTTGGCACAACCCCAAACACTAAGATACTTGAGATTTCAAATTTGAAAAATCACTACAAAACGGTGTCTCAGCTTAAACCGCAGATTTGAGCCACAACCTAACTAGCTTTTTGAGGGAAAAAAGGAAAGTCCCATTCTGAATTATTGATAAAATCTTATTTAGCGATTCTGTTTATAGTGTCTGTTATAGAAGTTTGTTAAAGGAGCAACATGCATTATAGATTAGAAAACCAGGGCAGATACCAATTGCAAAAACCAACTACCATTGCAAGTTTCAGATCTCCAGCTGCCAGATAAACAGGCTGAGCAACATGGCAATAACCCATCAAGCGTGGAACTGTAGGTATAATGTCCCTATGATTTACAACTCTCCAGCTATCCTTCACTTTCTGCAATGTACGCAACAGAAATTAGGTAAAACTATTAAAAGATTAGAAGTTACTAACAAATCTTGACACAACCAGAATCTTGAATTTATACACCAGATTCTTAAATTTAGTAAAAACATGGTCCAAATGGTTGTTCTCGTGCAAAAAGGAATCAACAAGTGAAGATTTTCGAGTAATGTCAAGGACTAGGAGAGCCTAGGGACTACCACAACAAAGTTACAAGGTATAGATGGCTACATCAATAGATAAAAGTACCAGATCTTAATTATTTCATGGACTTGAAAGACAGTACTCTGCTCAAAATAAAACCTATTGTTGGGATCCAGATCAAGCTCTATAATTAAACAACATACAGAAAAAAAGGCACAATTAAAATTCAGCTGTCATGCATTATCAGATCAACCATTCAAATGGAGCCTTTCTCTTTACCCAATTTCTACTATAGTTTTCTAGTTGAAGATTTCTCATGAATTAAACTGCACAAGTAGAAAAATCTTTCTTATTATTGTAAGTTTCAAAATAGACGATCAATCAGGCAGTTTCAACTCCAAGAAAGTGTTGAAATGAGGCTCACTTGCAAACTAGAGGAAGGTTCATCAGACAAGAACAGGGAATTGAATTGGGTTCTACAGCTCCATGGCTCATGAAACATTATGCCAGTCAGGTTTAACTACATGTAAGGTCACTTTCAAGACAAAATATTAGAAAAACAACTATATTTTTAACTTTTCGTCCTTTAGACCAAAACTCTAATAAAAACTGAGTTGTCATCATGCAATAACATGAGTTCTTTGCATAGTTTAAATCATGTAGTCTATCTTAAATTTTAGAACTCAAATTACAAAATTCATAACCAAATCATGGATATAAAAGAAAATTCCTCATTGTGATATCTGATACCTAATATTTTCAGAGGACATTTCACCAATGATAAAAACATGATAAAAATTTCCAAAATTTGGCTGTATATGTACAAATTTGAACTGACATTAGTGAATAACTACTTCAATTATAAACTTAGGATTAATACTTCCTTTTTTTTCCTTCTTTTTTTCTTTTTTTTTTTTTTTGGGGGGGGGGGGGGGGGGGGCGGTGTTGTTGGGGGGTGACCTAGCAACTTCAAAACCATACCTACAAAGTATCATACCTCATTATAAACTTCTGCGAATCTTTTGTTTCCAACCTTGGAGATCCAAAGTTGTACATGGTCATAGAAATTGCCCCATGCCTAAAAAACACCAAGAAGTTTTAAAAAGAAAAGAGAAGAAGGAGGGAGAGAGAGAGAGAGAGAGAGAGCAACAATTTTGTTTATTTTACCAATCACATATGAACAGACATCCTTAGTTTCATAAGTAGCATGCAGGAGATTCACAGAATCTCTAAAGATATATGAAAGCCAATTTGAAATAATTTTATAATTATTGACTCACTACTGACAATCAAACATTTTTCAAGATAAACATTATCCAGATTATATAAGACAAATATACAGATATATCTAAACATAAAAGGGGGAAAAGCAAAAAAGAGAATGAATATAATAAATAATTTTATGGAATGCATGCAAAATGAGCACTAAAAGGATTTCAAAGGGCTTTTATAGAGAAGAATAGCATAGTGGATGCTGGAGAATGTTTCCTCTTTGGCAAATAAAACTGTGAATATAGAAGGGAGAAGGATAACTCTCTCATTAATCATTTTAGTAGTACATGTATATATACACTTCATAACACAAACTAATGTCCACATTATTCAATGTGGGATACTAACCTAACGTAAGACTAACTATTCCAACACTCCCCTTCAAGCTGGAGCATATAAATCATATGCGCCAAGCTTGTTACAAAGAGATGTGATCCGAGGACCTCTGAGAGATTTAGTAAACATATCTGCTAGCTGATCAGCAGAATTGACAAAAGCAATGGAAATACATCCGGACAAAATCTTCTCTCTAATGAAATGACAATCAACTTCTATGTGTTTGATCCTTTCATGAAACACAGGGTTGGAGGCAATATGTAAGGCGGCTTGATTATCACAGATTAACTTCACTTGTCCAATCTCTCCAAACTTCAATTCTTGAAGTATTGCTTTAACCAAATTAGTTCACAAGTTGCCAAGGCCATAGCACGATATTCAGCTTCAGCACTTAACCTAACAACAACATCCTGTTTCTTACTTCTCCAAGAATTCAAATTACCTCCAATCAAAACACAATATCCTGAAGTAGAGCGTCTATCTAAAGGAGAACCAGCCCAATCTACATCAGAATATCCAATTATCTGAGTGTGTCCTTTATTTTCATACAATAATCCCTGACCTGGTGTACCTTTAATGTACCTGAAAATACGAATCACAGCATTCTAATGACTGTCACATGGAGATTGTAGGAATTGACTTACTGCATTGACAACAAACGAAATATCGGTTGAGTGATAGTTAAGTAATTAAGTTTTCCCACTAATATCCAATATCTTTCAGGATCTGCATGAGGCTCCCCCTGTCCAAGAAAGAGTTTTAACATTCAGATCCATAGGTGTATCAACAGGTTTACAATCCAACATACCAGTTTTATCAAGTATATCCAAAGCATATTTACGTTGGGAAATAACAACACCTGAATTGGATTGAGCCACCTCTATCCCGAGAAAGTATTTAAGTCGACCCAAATCTTTGGTCTGAAAATGAGTAAAAAAGTGTTGTTTGAGCTGCTAAATACCCTCCTGATTATTCTAGTGATCACAATATCATCAACATAAACAACAAGAAAGATACATGTACTGTGTGATCTATGACGATAGAAAACCGAATGATCAGCTTTACTTCGAATCATGCCAAACTCTTGAATGACTGTACTAAAGCGACTAAACCACGTCTTTGGAGACTGTTTTAAGCCATAAAGTGAGCGTCGAAGTCGACAAACCAAATCAGACTCCCTCTGAGCAACGATGCCAGGCAGTTGCTCCATGTAAACCTCCTCCAGTAACTCACCATGAAGGAAAGCATTTTTGATGTTTAACTGATAAAGAGGCCAGTGATGTATAGCAGCAAGAGAAAGAAATAAACGTACAGAGGCAATCTTGGCCACAGGAGAAAATGTGTCACAATAATCTAAGCCATAAATTTGTGTGTATCCGTTAACAACCAAACGGGCTTTAAGACGATCAACCTGTCCATCAGGGCCAACATTGATAGTATATACCCATCGACATCCAACAGTAGATTTTCTAGGAGGAAGAGGTACTAGATCCCAAGCACCGTTAGTATGTAAAGCAGTCATCTCATCAATCATAACTTGTCGCCATCCAGGATTAGAAAGTGCCTCACTAATAGTCCAAGGAACAGACACAGATGATAAGGTGGAGATAAGGGAATAATAGGAAGGGGACAAACGATGATAACTAAGAAAGGTATAAATAGGATAGAGATTCCTGGTGGAGCGAATACCTTTCCGAAGAGCTAGTGGTGGAGAAGTATCTATATACTGGTCCGTGAAACGAGGAGACGTTGGCGCAACAGGGGAGTCCAATGGAACCTCTTCAACATCGGTAGAGAGAGGACGAGGTTGACGACTACAAACTTGTAGAGGACGAACTGGAGGTGGAGGTTCAGACACAAGTGGAGCAACTTCTTAAGTAGCATGAAGAGGAAGACCTAAATATGGAATGGGAAGAATGTGAGAAATAGAATCTGAATCTGACGCAGTAGTAAAGTATGGAGAAGACTCAAAGAAGGTGACATCAGCAGAAAATGTAAAAGCCCTAGGTAGTAAGAGAATAACATCGATACCCTTTTTAGACTCGAGAATACCCTAAGAAAACACATTTGGTAGACCAAGCAGAAAGTTTATCCTATTCAGGAGCTAAGTTATGAACAAAACACACACAACCAAAGACACGAGGAGGTAGAAGATACATAGATTGACTCGGAAAAAGAATGGAGAAGGGAATTTGGTGTTATAAAACTGAAGAGGGCATGCGATTAATTAGATATAGAAGGGAGAATGATAACTCTCTCATTAATCATTTTAGTAGTACATGTATATATACACTTTATAAACACAAACTAATGTCCACATTATTCAATGTGGGATACTAACGTAACATAAGACTAACTATTCCAACAAAACTGCCTCTGTATTACCCATCAAATTAATTCAATCTTTATCTGCATAGAGAAGCCAAAGTCTGCAACTGTTGAAGCACCTGAAGTTGTATTTCTTGGCTCACCATTAGCTATGTTTGTTACATACTACCCAGTCTACTCATGTTCACTTAGAATTAGCTACTCCCCAGGGCATGTATTAGCACAACCATCTGGATCTCCTAGTAATGTTCAGGTGGCACATAGAATAAAAATGATCAATTTTAGTTTGAAAAACAAATTCTCAATTTTAATAATGAAAAGTATGAAAGGTATAAAATAAGATTAGGGTTTTGGGAGAAAAGTCTGTGTCTCCCTAGACTGAGCATCTCATTTTATAATGAATATAACATTAAAAATACATTGAACCTAAACACATATTGGTATCTTTTCCTTGTATACAATATAACTTCCTTACATAACCTTTAACACTCCCTTCAAGCTGAAATATATATATCATATGCTCCAAGCTTATTACATAAAGAGGTTGATGGTAGCTCCATATGAACTTCAGATTCAACAATGTCAGAGGATACATTATTCACAAATTGAGGAGGTTTGCCATGTAAAACCTAACACTTGTCTCTAGTATGATTAGGCCATCCACAGAAATTGCATCCTTTATCCTTACGATTATGCATACCATGGCCCATACGTCCATTGTTTCGACTACCTTGTCCTCTACTACCACAGTTACTAATAGTAACTCCTCTACTATTACGGTCATCATTATGGCTACCTTGTCTTTTACCAGTAGAAACTAGTGCAGATCTCTCAATTGTAGGGAGATGATATGATGAGCGAGAGGTGGTGAAGCGAAAAGTAAGAGAATAAACCTCTTCAAGATCAGGAAGTCTTAAGCCTACAATGATCTAAGAACGAAAGTCAATAAAGTAGCCAAAAAATAAAATACATCAAGCCGATCTCGTTGCTTTAGCATAGTGTCAAGTCTTTAGTGATGGGAACAAACAATTACACTCCTCTCGAAGACGGCTAAACTTAGCAAAGTGATCTGCAAGGTTGGTACTATTCATACAAATAGATTGATACTCCACTATTACATCATACATTGGAGATAGATTACTAGTGTAGACTCTTTGAAAATACTCTTGGATCTTTTTGCTACTTGTATAATTTATACAAGTATCAGCAATGGAATGTTCCATAGAGTTCCAAAGGCAAACATAATCTCGTTATCTTCTTGTTTCCAGATGGTAACCTTTTTTCGATCAAACTCCATAACAGTTTTAGAATCAATCTTAGGGAGGTGATCAGTAAGAGAATTTTCTTTTCCTAAACCACCAAGAACAGCAATGGACCATTAAAAATAATTATCACTATTTAACTTACGATTAGTGATTTGGAAAGGAGAGCTGGTGAAGAACTTTGGGTCCATGTCACCACAAAACAGAAGTAGACTTCAAATCAGAGGGATGACTTCTTGAGGAGTAAAGATCTAAAAGTGGAGCGCAGTGACAACAAATCGAATAGTCTAGAACCAGGCGAAAGAAAAATCTAGCCGAGACTGAGGAATACAAAGCTGCGGAAAACAAAGATGAACAAAATACCCTAGACGTAGCAAAGAGTCACAAGGTCCAACATTAGTTGTAGCGTCAAGCCCAAGAAGTGCCGATCTAGAGAAGATTTGAAGGGAGAAGTGATGGCTAGAGGATGCTAAGTATCAATGGAGATGACCAAAGGCTGAGAGTCAACTGTCAATGGATGGAGACAAGATCCAAAAGACTATGCTGGAATCAAGGAGACAACCTCTGATGTGACGATAGGAAGACAAGATGCAATGGTCAAGCGAGAACCAGAGACAAACAATGTAAGAGCCAGAGAGCTTGGGACGACAATGATTGAAGAGCTTGGAGAAGCCAAAACATGAGGTCCGACGAGCTTCCGACTGAACCAGAGAGCCTCCGATGAACTTGGGGAGATCTCCAGCGATCAACCACCAATAAACAGTGATGGTGGCATGACAACACAGTAAACCTAGACTCCCTCTAGCAGCTGGGTATAGTAACTATTCTAAACCCTAAGTTTATTTGATTTTTTAATCTTGCTCTGATCCCACGTGAAAGGTATCAAACAAGATTAGAGTTTTGAGAGACAAGTCTGCATCTCCCTAGATTGACTATATCATCTATTTATAATGAATATAAGGTTACAAATACATTGAATCTAGACATTTGTAGTATCTTTTCCTTATATACAATATAATTTCCTTACATAACCTTTAACAAAAAGAAAAGGGAAATTAAATTACATTGCTTTAATGAATAATAAGTGAGCAAATTGAAATGATCATAGCCAATGGTTACGGTGGGAGAGACCTTACCACATACCAAATCCTTTTGTTTTACCCTAACAAGCCCCCTTTTCAAATTAAAAAAGATCAATGTTTGGTGATGAATTCCTAACTGTATGCATATTGTTGCCTACAAGTAAAATTCCAATTAGAGATTAAGTTCTTTACTAATGAAGTACATTGCTCTAGGTTTTGTGATTCATTATACTTGAGACAAGTACATGTTATTTGCTATCAGCTGATCTTTATTCTTTAAAGCAGATGTTGTTGAGTTCCTGAAAACAGATTATTTTATATACATGTAGAGTATTGGTTAACTTTTTATTTTAATTTTGAGACATATCATAGGGGTAAAACTACAAAATTTAGATAACTCACTTTGTGAGGAAGAAAGCAGGAGAGAATATAAAAAACAGTAGATGCTTGTAGGAAAAGAAAGACAAAAGAAAATTAGATTACCATGGTGATCATTTTTTCACACAAAAAATGCATTCATATTGGCCCTTAAACATGTAAAAAATATAATATTGCTGTTCAGCAGAAAAATCATTGATTTCAACTAATTCATAGATTAGGATTGCAGGGGTAAGAACCTGTCATCACTTCATCCAAAATTGAGATTAATTCTTACTGCATCCACCTTTATATTCCTTCCATTTCTTGTTATATTTTCTTCTTCTCAAATTCTGATGAACAGTGGCTTGGTTAAGCAGAAACTCATCCCAACCTAACCCAACTAACATGTTCCAAACAACATGGCTTTAACAACATAAATCCTATGTCTGATTCATGATCTATTGTGTCACATGACTTCCATGGTCATGAATTCATGGACTAATATATCAGGCTTACAAGATTAGAACAAAATTACCAGGCAATTCTCAATGGAAAGCCTCATTTCATGATTTATTATATTGCACAACATGCACAGACTGAAATGCACAATTCACTGTGTTAATGAGTCGAAATTTCCCGGCATCATAAAACAGAATAACAGTATTATGAAGTTTAAAAAGACCAAAAAAAAAAAAAACTTCTGTTGAAAGACTGGATATAGTTTGCAGAAATCATTAGAACTAACAAGAAATTAGCTATTCATATGCACACAGGTTGCTAGGCCAAATCAATGAAAGAAAAAGTGCCAAGTAATGGGAGAAGTAACTCACTTGGCTAATTGACTTGATGAAAGTTCAAGAGCAAGGAGGGTAGCTAATGCACCACCCAAGCTATGACCAGTCACAAACACATGCCATTTGGATGGTGGCTCAGCACCATCATCTCTGCAAGAAAGACGCATCCAAGAATGGTTTATGAAGGATAAATTTCAAATTTAACAGCTTCAGAGAGATATAAATTGAAATCAGTGGCCAAGTAGAAATCAAACTATTTATGCACTTCAACTGCAATAGAAAAAAGTATTTTAAGCTGCACACGTTTAAAATGTCAATAAATTGCAATCATAAATCTTGTTAAATTGTTGGCCATCATCTTATCTAAAAGCTCAAGCTTATAGAAAAAGGTACCGTTTAATTATTTATTACTTAACATGCTCCTCACATGTGGCCAGATTTTATACTCATAAATAGGCAAACACATGAAAACTTTAAACTAGTAGGCAATTAGACTCGAATATTGGACCTTTTGCCTGCTCTGGTACAATGTTGAATTGTCAACAGCACTTGAATGCCAAAGGGTACAAAACAAAGACAACCAACAATATGGTTGATTTATCAGTCAAAGGCCAAAAACTTGAATCCCTTTAAGAAAATAACAAGACAGTTCTAGGATTTGGATGTTCCACCAAGAAAACTCAGATAAGGATATAGAATGCTTTATCATATTGAACAGGCTCAAATTGAATATCATTTTTTTTATTATGAATTGGGATTAAGTTCCCCTTTAGTAGGGTGGCCTCACTTCTGGCATTTCCTCCTACCATACATAAATTTCAACAAATTCACTACAAAAGTAGTGCTAAACCATTAAAATACAATTACCCCCCGCTTTTCCCTTCCTTGAATACATGATGTGAACCACCACCAATCCATTATGGACAAAAGGTTAAGAAAGTAACCACTTCTTTCCTCCTATAAATAAAGTAGAATGCTTTCTTGCCAAGCTAATATGGTATGGATGGAGTAGTTGGTGTTCAACAATTTTATGGGCCATGGTTCATACTAATATAAAAATGTACACTTCTTTCTTTTTTAATAACATGGTTAACAGTTAACACTCAAATCTTTCTTGCCTCTCCTTTCACCTCACATGGTATCAGACCACAACTAAGCTGATATTGATCTTTGCTACAGACTTTATTCCTCTTCCTCTTCTTTCTCCTCTCTTCTTTATAACTTCTGGTCTGTCTATGATGCAGAGATGTAACCAGGAGTGAGGTACCTTTCTTTTTTTTCCCCTTGCTACCAGGAGGGTCGCACAACAAAGAATTGACCCAAGTGGGGTCAGTGGTGATTCACAATAGCATATCTGATCTTGTCAATGTCCAGGGGGTCCACTGCTGTAGGCAAGACCCAGGGAAAGTCCAGCAATCTGAAACGACACCTAAGGTGAGATCAACTGGTGTTTAGGCAACAACCAAGGGAAGTCTGGCAATCTGAAATGACGTCTAAGGTGCTCAACTGGTGTAGGCAACATCCAAGGGAAGTCCAGTAATCTGAAATGATCCTAAAGGTGCTCGACAGTCTGAAATGAAAACCAAGAGAGGTCCAGGAATCTCAAGCAACATCCAGGGGTGGCTCGACAATCTGAAATGACACTTGGGGTGGCCCAATAGTCTTAAAAAGTACCCAGGGTGATCAAAAGGCTCAGGCGAAGCCCAGGTGACTCAGACAAAGACCAAGCAATTGATTTCTTTACTGGAGAGGGATCAAACACAATGTGTTTTAAGTTCTGGAGGCTATTAGCTTCTTGTTGTGCCCTAATCGCCGACAACAAATTCAGAGAAAGTTGCTGAAAGCCCCATTAGAAAAATGGTAATAACCAAAATTATTCTCTCCTGTTCAAACTATAGATAGAAAATAAAATGGCAATAAGTATGCTCGATAGAAGAAGACTGTCAAAAAGTATTTAACAAATGTCTATATGGAGGATTATTTGACAAATGATCCACCTGTGGAATCCCAAAAGCAGTGCGTCGTAAGTGGTTGAGAGACAATGATAAACTGTTTAATCTAATTAAAAACACTCTGGAGAGGAATGTGGATGACATGACCACCCACTGCAATTAAGTGGAGAAACTAAGGGTAACACCCAGAATTTCTGAATGCTGGGAAGCAGAATTTATTTCATCTTTATGAGCTATTGCAGGAATTCCACTAAGCAGAGAAAAGGAGCGGTCCCTGCTTATCTACCTCGCCAGGGTATTTGAAGAGATAAAGTCTCTGTTTTCAATTAATAATGATGTGAAAAAAATGCATGAACAGCTTAAGCAGATTGCTGCCTTGTGTTTTATTGCTGGATAAAGATCAGAATATGACATTGCCCACCTCAAATTCTCGCAAATTCATATCTTGCTTCATTAAGCTGATATGTTTGTCCACATCCAATGGGCATACAAAGAACTTGCAAAGAAGACAGTCCCAAGAGATGTAATTACATTAGTTAGCTGAGGCTGAGGCCCAATGTCAGTAATAGTTCTTGGGGTGGGAGAAGCGGTGGTCAAGGTGAAAGAGGTCTTGAGGTAGTGGTCATGATAGTAGTAGTCCAAGAGTTTGCTATCATGGTGGTGATGTAGTCATATGAAAAGAAATGATTGGAAAATACATGGCAAACCTTGCTTGGGATCCAAAATATGCCTATGCAGCTATTCACAAGAATATTTTGCCTACCCGAGTAATGCCACTTCAGAAAGTAAAAGTGTAACCATGTCTACAAATGAATTTTCCTAGTATACAGAGATCCAAGCCTCTTAGCAGTTCCACCAGCCTGTCTCTTCATTATCTGCAGCTATGCTGGTTTAGACAGCTTATCCACCGCTTGTCATTCCACTTCCTCCTGGAGTTGGGTGATTTATTAAGGCTATGACAGGTTACACAAGTATACTTTCTTTGTTCAACTCATTTTCTAGTCTACCTCTTATTCCAGTAGCTGATAGATCCTATGCTTTTGTCATTGATAATGACATTGCTTATCCCACTTCATCTCTACTTTTGTCATCAGTCTTATGTTTACCTTGCTTTCCTTTTAATACTTTATCTATTAGTAAAATCACACGAGAACTAGCTTATGGGGTTCATTTCTTTCCAGATCATTGTCTCTTTCAGGATCTTGGGACAAAGAAGATTATTGTCAGAAGTTATGAGTTTGATGGCCTCTATGTGCTGTATGCCAGGTCTAAGTTTGTGCCAATCACTTGGTTGTGCTATAGCACTACCTCCCCTTCTAGGCTATTGTCAATTGGGTCATCCCTCCTTGGCAGTTTGGATAAAGCTGTGTCCAGGTCTTATTTCTTTGTCAAGTCTGGCATGAGAATTGTGCAAATCTGCCAAGCATCAGAGTTTCTTTTCAACCTTGTGTCAATAAATGGGTCATATCCCTATTCAAAGTAGTTCATTCTGATGTTTGATGTCCGTGTCAGAACTTGCATTGATCACTAGGAGGCACTCTCCTTTTGCCGAACTTGCATCCATCTGATTATTAATCTTACTCCATCTTATCAATAGCTGCTACACCAATTGGATGTAAAGAATCACAGAGACCTATATGAAGATTTTATATGGAGCAACTGCCTCATTATGTTGCTCAAAGGGAGTCTGGTAACATAATACAAGTTGAGAAAGTTGTTATACAACTCGAAACAATCTCCTCATGCTTTTTTGAGGAGATATAGTATCATTACTCTATAATTTGGCCTAAAATGTTCTCTTGATATTTCTGTCTTTATCAACAAATGGGGTCATAATGCATGTCACTAGTGTTATATGTAGATGATAGCGTTATCATAAGTCATTCTTGCAAGCAACATTTCAAACTAAGGACTTGGGCAACCTGAATCATCTTTGGGGTATTGAAGGTGCCAGGAAAAGGAAAGGAATATTCTTATTTTAAAGAAAGTACATGTTAGGTTGAACTTTGTGACTCTCCAATGATCCCAAATAAAAAACTTGGTGTTGAAGATGGAAATTTACTAGAGAATCCTCAGAGGTATAGAAAGCTAGTGAGGAAACCAAACTATCTTAGTGTTGCCCATCCCGATATTGTGTTCTCAGTAAGTGTAGTCAGCCAATTTGTGCCATCACCAAGGAGGGGTCATTGGAATGTTGTCTTATGCATCCTGAAATATATTAAGAAAACTCCAAGGAGTAGTGCATGGCATAGATATCATGGTCATCAAATGATCAAAGTATTTTCTGATACCGGTTGAGTTGGTTCTCCTATTAACCACCAATAAACCACAGATATTAACCTAGTCTCCTGTAAAAATAAGAAACAAAATGCCAAGTGTTGAATCATTGTATCAATTTATAGCACAACTAACTTGTAAGTTTATGTAGGTACATCATCTTCTTGAAGAATTGAGCTTGAGTCAGTCTCATCTGATGGGGGTGCAGCAATTTATACTGCTTATAACCCCGTGTCTCACGAGACGACTAACAACATAATAATTATTTTCACTTCATTCCTGAAAAACTTCAGCAAGGGCTTATCTCCACCAGCTATATTTGGACTACTAAACAACTAGCTAATGTATTTACTGAAGCTCTCCAAGAGAATCCAGGGGAATATATTTGTAATAAGCTAGGCTTGATTGACATCTTTGCTCTAGCTCAAGGGAGAGTGCCATGAATAAGGGGTATTTTGGTCTTTATATATATCTCATCTATATATTTGTACTCTAAGCTCATACATAAAGAGTGGCTGAACCAAATAAGGTTAACAGCCTCTATCAACACTATCATCTTTCCAGTCTCTCCTTTTCATTCACATTTACAATATCCAATGTCAATTTATTAGTGCTAAACAAACCCAAAAGTGCATTCTCACAGTAGAAGGACTTACATGTATCCCACAGCTAATTTAATAAGAGAGAGAAGCCTAGTCCGGACTGAATCATATGCGCTTAAAAATCCACTATGAACCTGAAGATTTATGCTTTAGTCAACAAATCAGAAAATAAACCAGTGGATACCATTATAATTACATTTGCAATATAGACTCACAGGATAATTGTTGTACCTGAACTTCTTGCTTGAAATCACCACCTATCCGCTCAGGATTCAGCCTAAAGAAGTGGAGGAGAAATAAGTTATGCAGTACGTGACTTATAAAATCTTATTCCACAATTATAATATACATAAAAAAAGGAATTATGGAAAGGGACAAATAACCTATGTGTTCCTAGGCTATGTTCCTTTGGCTATATACCATGTTATAATGAATAATCTTTCACTCAATGTAATATGAACAAGAATTATGTGACTAGAATAGAATGATGAGGTCAAAAATACTAGACAATTAAAAGTCACATGAAGCAACCGTAGGTAAAATTTAATAAACTACAAGATTAAAGAAAAAGTAATATGTTTATTTTTCCCCCATAAAGAAAACGTAAGCAAGGTTCTTGCTTTGCATCCTTGCCTCCTCAGTTGAAGATAGCTCCCAAGTGATTATGCTTTAGTATCATCATAAGTCATAATGTCCACTTGATATTGTAAGATGTAATGCAGATATTGTGTGATAATCTTCCAATTGCACTCTATATACCCTTGATAAATTATGAATAAGGAACTCAATGAGAATAAGAAAAGACAAGGCAAACAACATTTAAAGAAAAAAGGTAAGCTATTACCCTGCAGGAACTAGCATTAAATCAGTTCGCAAATCCTTCCACCTAGACTGAGAAAAGCAATTAATCAGTTATCCTATCAAAGAGTTTAAACTAACTAAACTAGTGAGAAATCCAAAGTAAGTACTTGTTCTGTTCCCTGAAAGCAACAACTAATCTTTTTCGTGCTGGATCACGCCAAATTGCCACCTGCAGCTTGCAAATCTCAGTGATCCATAAAACAAAATCTGAATAACCAAATAATGATATTTGATTAATTAAGAAAGTTCAACAAACATTTATATATTCTCCTTTACAAGAGGACAGAAAAGATGGGCTTCTATCTCATAAGATATGACCTTACCTGTGTATCAGTGGATGGGTTGTCTAAGAAGCATATTTTCTCAAATTCAGATTTAATGAAACTTGGATGGCCCAAGGAAGTAGCAAGCATTGCCCAAGCCTCCATGGCACTTTCTGCCGTCAAAAAGAGTGCCCTCATCTCCTCAGCTTTCTTTTCATCCATTTCTGGTACATCCAGAGGGCTTACAAACTTTTCGTTACCGGGATACTGAGAGGCATCATTTCCCATTTTAGTAGAAGAATCTTCTTTCTTTTCACTCTTTCTGAACAAACTTCCTTCTTTGCTTAATTGTGAAATTGAGGCATTTAGAACCATCAGGGCCCCCAGAATGGAATCAGTTTGCCGCAATAGCTCTTGGGTGACCTTCTTAACATCTGCCATTGAAGACTCAACGTTGCTAAGATTCAGAGGTCCCCTTCCTTCAATGTTAGCATCTTGACCTTTAGACGTTGCAAGTCCGGATTCAATAAAACCTGCTTCTGCAATTCTTTGTGACTGCAAACCAATCCTATTCAACAAGTCAAATCCATCCCACTTTATTTTATCAGGAGGAGGGAGGCCAAGTTTCTGAACAACATTTTGATTGACAAGATCAGCAAAGTTTTTCCAGAAATGCTTATCTGACTCTGGTGCATCACCATCATGTGTCACTGCTGAAGAGGTTTCCCCATTATCCATAACACCATTGTTCATGTCACCCTCTGGTAGGTTGCTGTTTCTATCAGAGTTTGCATCAATTTTAGAGTATCCTCTATTCTTTTTATTCTCTTCTGCAGATATAGCTGACTCAACAACAACATTGCTAGATTTCTCAATATTTTCAGTCCCAGACCTATTGAGTTTTGATAGCCAATCCATCTGGTTGTAAGCATCATTTAATAACTTTATCTGCCCAAAGGCATACTGCACAAATTCACGTGCTTGCACCGTATCTGAACCAACAAGCTTTCTCAGAGCAGGCTCAAAACCATATCTCCGAAGAAATTCACTAACCATGGGGATCCTCCACCACTTACTCTCTTCAGCAATTTCATCAAAACTCTTATACCTCACCTGAGATTACATCATTTGGAAGATAAGACAACATGTGACAAGTAGTTCATTTCAAAAATATTAAGATTTCAACGCCTCAGGCACTGCAAAGGATCAAAACAGATCAACCGTAACTAAAAAACAATCAGAATGAACCAATATTTTTGCTGTTGCAGTAAAGATAGGAAGAAGAATTCATAAGCCACATAGAAGTTTGTGAGAAATAAAAACTACTATATTTCCCATGTAAAAGACTTGCAAAACCTGATGCTCCAGCAGAATTATGAATCTGTTAGTACCATTTATTCTCCTTTCCCATCCAAACAACCCCAAGATTCTACACTTCAAATAGTTATTTTCTGTACATAGGGAAAAGAAAATAATATAAGAAAAAAACTGGATCAAGGAGACGTGGTTACCAGTCAAAATGCCTTGATAATGAACCAAGTCAAAACCCTTAGATTTATATTTTTTTGGAAGCAAATACATAATCCCTTACACCTCAGCATTTTCTTAATAGAGTGACAGCAAGTGTTGATAATGAGGTTGCAGTGTCTGATAATGAACTACATTTTATTGATAACTTCTACCCTATTTTCCCATCTAATAGTCTCTTTCTAAGAAAGACAGCTTTTTGAGGGGGAAACGTCTTTAGATAAAGAACTTCAAAGTAACACAAACCATGGTTCAAAATCAATTTCAGATGTAATTTTTATGATTGGTTTAGTTTTCCATGTCTATCAGAGGTGCTTACTTGCAAGAACAACATACCTCCAACAGAACTTCAACAAACATTGAAACAGCACACCAAGTACACTCAATGTTTACAGGAGGAAGTTCAGAAGATTGTTATGGATGTGAACTTCTGGCCATCAGGAAATGCATAAGCATGGCAACAATAAATACAGAAAACATATAAAGCGTTCTTTTTTCGGAAGTAAAGATTTTATTTACTAAAAAATAGAGATGTACATTTACAAGGGGCATAACCCAGGCACCAATCAATAAGTAAATACATGTTTTTCCTTACCAGTTACAGCTCCAAAAAGAATAAACAATGAAAAAAGGCTGATTTATCAAGAAAATATACCTCAAGCTGTATCTTTCCACCACCTCCCATTCCTTCCAATTCTACCAGCACCTCATGCAAATTTCCTACAAACAAAATTTATCTTTCTGGGATAAAATTCAGGCTTCAAAATATTCATCAAAACAATAGCATGCATATTAATTATTATAATGCCTGGTATAATTTACTTCTAGTGAAGTTGCATATACTAAACATCCATCAACACAACAAAATGTCTTTCTTCAGTAGCCAATTCAATTTTTATTATTATTCAAAAAATTTCCAACTCTATGATTACAAAACGATAAAACCCTTACAATGAATTCTGAAAAAAACAAAGCCAACCAAATTAACAATGATCCATAAACATCCACATCATTCATATCATTTAATCAAAGCTCACCATCACATAGGCACTCCAAACTAATGCTGCCATTCCCCATGCGTTTGTGTGGAGTGACAAGATTTGCATCCCAAGCTGCAACCTAAAGTTCAATATCAAATATTAACATTCCAGTGCAAGGTAACAACTATAGAGCTAGTATTACAACAAAAATGCACTTATCACTACAGAAAAGATCATAGTCCACTTAAGTCACCCAAATATGAAGCATTCCCGTGTGCAAGGAGTACTAAACAACAAGAACAACAATTTCTATGTATATATCATTCATCTGAATCACAATGGACAATAAAGGCAAAAGATGGACCTTGCTTCTTGTAGTGGATTATGTCAACCAATATTTTGAAAAATAGGGCTTCTCCATGGATTTCAAGTCTTTCTAAAACCCAGAATAAAGAAATCATACTGTCCTTTAACCAAGTTTTCGTCATATTCCTTCCATTGTGCTTCAAGTTATTGAGCGCAATATTTTTACCTCTCTGCAATGGCCTGCTTTATGGATCTGATAAGAAATACACTGCTAGATGGAGAGGACTAACTCTTGAATATACTGACCAAATACTATCAGAAGGATGAGTGGTTTTGGAATGATATTTTACAGAGATATCAAACATGCTGAACTACATGCAAATGAACAGAAAGATCCATCTCAGCAAAACCTGAAGAGTCAATCTAACCTTAAAATCTTTCTAACACAAAATTGTAACTATTTTGATCTATCAAAAGTATTAAAGTAGTTTTGTTTATTAGGGGAAAGGGCATTTTGGTCTATGTTCACTTCACTATTTTGATATAAATGCAGGAGTCTACCCCTAGTTATGTAGCTACCCTAATAACTATCTTCTTCTTTTTTCCTTTCTCATAACACAATATAAAAAAGACAGGCCACACATGAGGAGGCATATTAATAATAAATAATCAAGTTATTCCTCTCCTTACAAGCTTAAACTTATAGATAAGATGGTGGTCAACAATTTAACAAAATCAAAAAAGAATCAATTTCAGAAAAATAGTATTGGAAGTCAAAGAGGGTGAGTTTTCATTAGAAAACCTAAATGTTCAGAAACAGTGATTTAAGAGATATCTCTACATTAGTCCATTAAATGTCAAAGTGAAGATATCCACGGTCCATCTACAAATGCTATATTGAGACACATTGTCCAAGAAACATTTACTGTTTGGGTAACAATTAATAACTCATTATTTGTCAAAACAACCTTAGAAAGAAAGAAATAATCGAACTTAAATTATGGTAAAAGCTGGCATCATCAAAAAGGAAAGAAAAAGAGAAAGGTACAATAATCAGAGTTTTAGAAATTATGACCTGAAGATTTGTTCTTGGAGGCTGCTTGATATTTAAAGAAAATTCCTGATTCCATGTTGGTTCCTTGGTCCTGCAATCATTTAATTTTTCATAATTTTTTTTACTTTGTAAAATTGATGTGACTATCACTCCAAAGAGGAAATTACCACATCATGAGTTACATTAATTGAAGCCCTATACAGATTTACATGTGGAGCAATATCATCATTAATTTTAATAATATAATGCACATACACAGAACAAGACACCTTTAGGTTGATGTTGACAATTCACAGCAGAATTGTTACTAGCCAAATTTTCCGGCATCACTAAGTATGAAGGTCGCAAAAAGCAATTGTATTGATCAGTCACATAGCATTATAGAGCTTATGTTTTAATTACCAAGGTATTTTTCTAAAACTTCTTTAATTCTTTCTAAATTTCATAGTTCTACCTTGGGGGGACATTCTGGATTTTTCAGAACTTATAAACAAATTTCAGGGTTGTTTTATTGGATGGGAATGAAGAAGGATATACAAGAATTTGTTACAGCTTGTGATGTTTGTCAGCGCAACAAAACTCAAACTTTATCTCCTGCTGGTCTTTTGCAACCTTTGTCAATTCCAACTTATGCATGGTCTGATATCTCTATGGATTTCATTGAAAGTTTGCCTAAAACTAATGGCAAGAATACAATTTTGGTAATAGTTGACAGATTTACCATATATGCTCATTTTATAGCTCTTGTCACCCAGTTACAGCAAAGGACATCGCTGAAATTTTTCTGAAAGAAGTAGTTCATTTGCATGGGGTCCCAACTTCCATCATTTATGATAGAGACAAAGTCTTTCCTAGCCACTTTTGGACTGAATTGTTTCGGTTGGCAGGGACTAAACTCAAGTTTAGTTCAGCTTATCACCCTCAATATGATGGCCAAACTGAGGTAGTGAATAGATGCTTAGAAACTTATTTGAGGTGCTTCACCAATGACAGACCAGAATGGCCGAAATGGTTGTCTTGGGCTAAATTTTGGTATAATACTACTTATCATAGTTCTACTCAATTCACTCATTTTTAAAACTCTATATGGTCAAGATCCTCCCACTTTACTTAAAGGTACTACTATACCTTCGGTAGTGAAGGAAGTTAACAAAATGACGGTAACAGAATGATGGCTGAAAGGGATGAGATGTTAGCATTATTGAAGGATAATTTGGTGAAAGCTCAACATAGAATGAAATCTCAAGCTAACAAACACAGAAGAGACGTTGAATTTTAGGTTGGAAATTGGGTTTTTCCCAGTTACAACCATATAGACTCAAGTCTTTGGCTAAAAGGAGAAATGAAAAGTTTAAGTCCCAGATTTTATGGTCCTTTTCAAGTTATTCAAAGAATTGGACAGGTTGCTTATAAGCTCCACTTACTTGATGGCGATAAGATTCATCTTGTTTTTCATATATCTCTTTTGAAAAAAAAACTGTTGATTCTACAGTAATTTCACAGCCATTACTGCCTATGTTATCTAAAGAACTAGAGTTACAAGTTTCACCAGCTCAAGCTTTAGACATGAGAACTAATTCTTCTGGTCTTCAAGGAGTTTTGATCCAATGGCAAGACCTTCCTACTTGTGAGAATTTATGGGAATCCATGACAACTCTACGGAGCACTTTCCTAATTTTCACCTTGAGAACAAAGTGAAACTTTTGAGGGGGAGTATTATTAGGAAACCTCCAATAAAATTTGTGTATAGTAGAAGAAAGAAGAATGTGTTGTAGGTTAGGAGATTTTAAGAGATTATTGGTTTATGTTTTTAGTTAGTTTCTGTTGTTAGTTGGTTAGGTTTTTTTGAATGAGGAAATGTTATGGATGGTATGGATCACAAAATAAGGAAGTCCATGGCGCCAAAAATGGAAAGGAAGACAAATAATAATTTTACTCCTAATTAGAAGAGTTTATTTTAGTAAGTATTTTTTTGCAATTTAAGTCTTCAATTTTAGTTTTCCTCTTTTTGTAAAAATAATTTCATTTGTAATCTCTACTTAAGAGAACAATTGGAAGAAAATAAAGCAAGCAGAATTTTCATTCAAATTTATAGAGGTTTAAGGCTCTCTCTAACGAGAGTTTAAGGTTTGAAGCTCCCTTCAACGAGTTCCATAATATATATATATATATATATAAAATCATAAGTTCTTCACGAGGCAAGAATCGTAACAAGGGAAAGACTGCATCTATTGAAGTAGATTTTCCTGTGCATCGTCCTGTGACTCGATCCATAACTCGGAAACGTAACAGGAAACTAGAAGAGAGAGCACAATACCTCTCAAATGTCCTGAATTCTATTTTGTAATTGTGTGTTCAGCAATAATAATTGATGAATTCTCAATTTTCAGAATTTAGGTCCTATCACAAGTTTCCATCTAATGTACTTGAAACCAAGACTTGAAGCTTACCCCCACTTGACCTCGCTTTTGACGACCTGATTATCCAGCTGGAAGACAACGTAAGGATCACTTGTTCCCTGAAAGCACATAAATGTTAAAAATAGCAAGTAAACAACACTAGGCTGTTGATTCTTAACCTTGATATTAAAAACAGGTTTCTATAGGGAAGGGAGAGGTGGAACCATGTAATCAATTAAAGCAACCAAAAGACTAGAGCTACAACGGAAATCAAATATCATTCAATTATTTAAGGAATATAACCTACCCAAGGATCCATGATTGGTAAATTTAGACCTTTTTTAGCTTTACAAACAACTGACCATCGTATATTTCACGTAGAAATGACCTGCAGATATGAATCCCATATGAAACAGAAGTTTAAACAAAGACATGTTTCAATCACATTGGAAAGTTTTCTTCAATTTTTGCTAGAAAATATGTGTCTACCTTTACAGAAATCCTTCAGTTTAGCAGTGATACATCTCCAATCACATGGAAATAGTATTTTCAAGTATGATACCAAGATAACTTCAGCTCTAAAAGTTCTTCAAGAAGATCCTTATTAGAGCAGAGAGACAAAGTTACGCATAATAATAGAATGCTATTTCAAAACAACCTAGAAAAATTGAATTACAACCCCATTTATGATTCTGTGAAGATTCAGGATTTGTAATAATCATTCTTATCAGGAGATATTATGAAGGCATGTGTTTTAGTAATTTACTCCATTAAATTTAAATTTATAGCATCGATCAATTTTTTATGCTCATAAAGGTGATTTAGTTGGTCTATCAAAAAAGACAATATCCGGGTAAACTAAATCTAATCAAATCATCAGTAAAGCTTTGAGATCACACATGCTTATCATCTTCAGATAGCTTCCAATTTGCATTTCACAGCCAAATTATTACACATGATCTCATAATTTGCTACTATATGAGAACTATAACTTGACTGGCTTTACTTATTCAAAGCTAGTAGGAGAACGAAGATTTGTATTTTCCAAGTGAGATTTGATTGAATTTTGTATAGTTTCCATGCCTAGGGAGAGACTTTTAAAACATTGCTGCCATTGGCTACCTTTAAGAAGAGAAATACTAGCATGCAAAATACAATAAATAAATAAATAAATAAATAATAGCATGTTCTCCAAGAAAAATCCACTCTCTTTCTACCCCTTTTTTTTCCATCGTAAATGACACATCATCAGGTTTCCTATTAAAAAATTTTAAACCACATGAAAATGACAACATACTCTGAAAGAAAAACTGTCTTGCATTTGGCCGCATCAACCTCTTGCTTTCCTATGTTTTCCTGATCAAAATGAAAGCATGCAGA